GAGGAAAAAAACTAGAATGCTAGATTGTCACACACTTCATCTGCACCTTTCAAAGATCTCTCTGTCATAAGGCATGTCCTCTCTAACCTCTGTCACCCCCTGGCTCACAGGTTCTCAAACATGCCATAATTACCAATTCAAGATGGAAGAAGGTGGGAAGTGGGTCCCGGTTATCTCTGGGAGGGGTCTCACCTCCACTGGCTTGAGCCTTTGTTGAAAGTCTCACAACTTACTGTTCTAAAACACTTTGACCAACAAGTTATAATAAGATAGTTACATAAAAGCAAGTATAACCCATTGATACGTTTTTGCAGAAGACACATCTTGACCCAGGAGTCCTCCATTTTGTTTTAAGACTCCTAAAACCCCAGGAAGTCACAGAGTCTCATAGTTTCAGCTCCTAGGAGGAGGGTTCACTAGGATTCAACATCACTTCTGTCTCTGGAGGGACAACTGATTCCCTCAGAAATTTATTTAGACAGCATTTCCCTCAAAAGATGGTTTAGTGACCACAGAAAGGCATTCTAATTCAACACGCATATTATCAGCTATCTGTTGTTACAACAGCGCAGTGTAACATCCCAGCGACATGCAGTAGTAACACCTGTTGCTCGCTGGTCGGGGGTGGTCCCCTTGGGCAGGCCCTCTCATGTGCACGGGCTCAGGTGCTCTTGACTGTCCTAAGATGGCCTTGTTGGGGGTGACTGAGGTGATTTAGTTCTGTTCCACATTTGCCTCCCTCTTCCTGGGACAAGCAGTCTAACCTGGGCATGTCCTTCTCATAAGAATGGCAGAGAACTAAACCAAGCAAGCCCAGGGGTGACGGGGCCCTTCACACGCCTGCATGCATCGTGGTGGCCAACATCCGTTGACCCTAAGCATGCCACACGGCCCATCCTAAAGCCAGAAAGGGCAGGCAATACAGTTATATGGCGGTGGGCTTGGACACGAAGAGAGGTGAAGAATGGGGTCGTTCGTGTAACAAATCTACTCCAATTACCTAAATTTGCCTCAGTGCTTTTTACTCCATCAGCAGGTTGGGTACCAACTTTTATCTTGACAGCATCAGCATGCCTGGAGGAAAAATCTGGAGGGCAAGGACTGTTTATCTGGCTAAGCTAAACCATCACATGTTTGCTGTTTGGGGCCATGTACATTGGTGTTTCTAGTGACAGCTGTGCTTTGAATTGATCCAGCAGAGCCTGAACTGGGGAGAGGGGTGGTGTATGGAGCAAAGCATGAAGCCTGATGAACTGCTCTTTTTCTTTTCTCTTTCTTTTCTTCTTAGAAGTAATTGGTTCCATTAAGTAAAGAAGCTAGTATCCCAATTAAAATGATTTTGCTTCAGAGAAGGTAGTCAGCGCCATCCAGATAATGAATAGAATAGCCAAAGACTTTTGTGTGTTTCTTATAAAGAAAACAAAATAAAGCAAAAACAGTGATTATCCTCTTACTGCACAAGCTTCATAGATACGGCTCTGCTCCCCGCCATCTGCCCCCACCCCCAGCCCAAACTATGAGCAGTGCTGTCATTAACAGCAGACTCTCTGCATTGCCGGCACCTTAGCTTATTAAAGTGGCTTTGGCTGGATTCCTGCACTGACTGATTACCTTAATTGACCTTCCGACTGGCTGAAATTTGCCTGACTTAATGAGGCTCAATTCTTGTCAAGCCCTCTAGGCTAGATGGCTCCTGGCCCAGACACTTTGTTGCTTAGATTTTTCATTTTTAATAACAATTACACCCCAAAGCGTAAGGAAATATGGTAAGAAATGTCAGTAACTGTGAAGAGCCTGGAGCAGCTGTCTCCATGGAAAGATGAAAGGTTCAAAGTTTTGAGCCTGGTTTAAAATTACCCTCTACCCTGAATTTGACCTTGATTGGTGTGTCTTACGTCACTGAAGCAAAGAAGTTAGCACTGTTATCCTTAACAGGATTTTTCTAAACATCTGTCTAAATGAAAAGGCATGTTAGCTGGTCAGCCATTTGCTAAACACCATCAACCCAGCCTAGACTTGGGTGTTAACTTCTGTTTCCGAAAATCAAGATGGTGCTGAATTGCTCGGCCGCACAGAGATAATTTTGCCTACAGACCAGCATGCAAAAACACTTAAATTGCAGGTAACGTTCAGCAGAGAGAGAAAGCTTTCCTCCTGCAGGAGAAATAGGATTGACCATTGGTAGCTACCGGGAACACCGTGCTGAGAAGGATCAATCATGCCTGGTGTGGGCACAGACGGGACGTGTTGTCAGGTGCACGCCATTGCTGTCATAGTCCACAGTTTCTAATCTTGTCCCTTATAAGCAACCCTTCAACTTTATTGTTTCCTGATAAATATATCTATTTTTTTAACCTTCCACCCATACTTGAATACCTAGATTATTGTTTTACTAGATCCATTAGTTATTCGCCATTTTCTGTTTTGGGGCCAGCATCTGAATTCCTCTCCTGCCTTTAGGGAATTCCTCATTATGTGAATTTTGGTCTAAGAAACTAAAATGGCCAGAACAGTTGTTTCTACAAAACACTTTCCCCTCCACACCTTCCTCCTTCACCCTTGCAGCTAGATTTTGACACATGACCCTGACATTGGATCTGTGTTTCACCTAGTTAAAAATCCAGTGCATTTGCCTGACTTTGAATCAAAAGTTAATGACGTGAAGACACAGTGTCCTGACATTTCTGAGCTATTCTTAACGATAATAGGAGAAGTTCCTTCTTTGAACTAATAGAAGTTTTCTGCTTAAACCTTCCAGAATTAGTTTCCAATGCTTGCAGCTAAGAACTTGACCGATGTAGTAGGGCGTCCAGGACACTGCTCTTTAAACTTCATTGTTTGTTGGAATCACCTAGGCACTGGATGAAAATGCAGATTCTGACTGAAACGGAGGGCTGGGATGGGGCCCGGGTTTTGCTTTTCTAACAAGCTCCCAGAAAACGACAGAGAGGCTGGCCTGTGGTCCACCTTTGAAGTAGGAAGGATGTGGAGGAGGAAAGGCAGCCTGAGACTCAGAAGGCAAAATTCGTGGGAAAAAAAGAGAACTCTGTTTCAACGTGTTTTAGTTAGGTTAGGGCAGACCGACAGCTATAACTAATAAGCTTCAAGGTGTGCAATAGTTCCAACAAACTAGAATTGTATTTTTTTAATTGCAGTATAGTCAGTTTACAGTGTGTCAGTTTCTGGTGTACAGCGTCGTGTTTCAGTCGTGCATATACATACATGTATTCGTTTTCGTATTCTTTTTCATCATAGGTGACAACAAGATATTGAATATATAGTTCCCGATGCTATACAGAAGAAACTTATTGTTTATCTATTTTATATATACTAGTTAATATTTGCAAATCTTGAACTCCCAATTTATGCCTTCCCACCCCCTTTCGTCTCGGTAACTATAAGATTATATAACTATATTTGATTCTGTTTCTGTTTTGTAGATAAGTTCATTAGTGTCTTCTTTTTTCTTTTTTTAGATTCCACATATGATGATATAATATGATATTTTTCTTTCTCTTTCTGGCTTACTTAAGTTAGAATGATGATCTCCAAGTCCATCCATGTTGCTGCAAATGGCATTATTTTATTCTTTTTTGTGGCTGAGTAGTATTCCATTGTATAAATATACCACAGCTTCTTTATTCAGTTCTCTGTCATTGGAGATTTGAGTTGTTTCCATGTCTTGATTACTGTATATAGTGCAGGCAAGTTATTTAACTTTTTCAACTCCCATTTTCTTCATTTGGAAAACTGAGATAAGAAGCCTCCCTGTCTTGCAGTGTGGTTGTGGGGATTAAGTGACATAATATGTAAAGATCTTGGTGGATCTTAGCTATCTGTCACATCGTATAGATGCAGAATATATGTGCTCAGCAATAAAAATAGTATTCCTGCAAAGAAATTTAACACACCTGGCTAAATGAATAACTAATTAAGGTAAATTTTCCATAGGCTTTGTTATATTTTATATGGTGAAATGTCTAACTGAGCCCAGATTTAAGTCAAACGAAGTTACATCTACACACGTGCACACCTTATGGTAACTAGTGCAAAAAGGAACTGAGATTTGTGCGAAGTTCTCCTTCCTCTGACCAATGATAAACGTGTATGTATCACCCTATCAAACCTTTGGCCTGAGCACTCCTGAATGGGAATATTTGTTTGGGAAATATGCACATTGTTCATCATCTTCTCTTGCGTTTGTCTGTGTTGGGCGTGTGTTCTCCCTGCATACGTTCTGACAATTATGAGCGAAGCAGCACTAAGGTGACTGTTGGGTGCAGTTTCGTTTCCTTTTCCTGCCGCTGCCCTGCTTCCCACTTGAACAGTGTAGGGACGATGTGTCATTATGCATTGTTAGAGATTTGAGTGTGTTTATTCCTGCTTACCTTGAAGAACAAGCCTCAGGACTTCCTTCTGGAGCGCAGCAACTGTATCATCGCATCACCTGGGCGGACACATTTTTGAGACTGTTAGCTGTTTCATGTTTCCACCTCCATCAGGTACAAATAATGTTTCTAGAAAGGGCAGGAGACTGCACAGCAGCAAGTTCTGCATCTCAAGTTCTCCCCACCTGCTGATTGACGTCTAGATTTCTCCTTTTTTTTTTTTAAGAGATTGAGTTCTTGAAGTGAATCATGATCTGAAACCCAAAGGGAGACATTTGGGCCACTGAAGGATGAGAGCAGACCTTTGATGAGGAGAGCCTATCACGTGTTGAACTGTAGGCCGTATGTGTCACTTTTCAAGTTGGCATATAACACAGTTAACTCAGAACCATCCATCAAGCATATCTCTTTGTCTTCCTTTGATACAATAAGCAGCGGGAAAATTAATAAGAGAGTTGGAACATTACGTCTGTGGATAATGAGAGCTGGGGTTTTAGGAGAACTTTTCCCAGGCAGTGATTTAATTCACATTGCTAAATGAGAATTACGCTCCAATAGAAAATTCCTCTCTTCCTTAATTGTGTGTGTTCTTTTTTTTTTTTTCTCCCGTAGCTTCGGAAAGCAGTGATGGATCACATATCTGACTCTTTCTTGGAAACCAACGTCCCTTTGCTAGTTCTCATTGAGGCTGCAAAGAGTGGGAATGAGAAGGAAGTGAAGGAATATGCCCAGGTTTTCCGGGAGCACGCCAACAAGCTGGTGGAGGTAAGTCAGGAGGGGCCCGAGGCTAGAATTGACCAGTAGGTTCGATCTCTACCTGTGGCTCTTGGAATTTCAACAGATCACCCTTCTGTGGTCTTCCTGGATCTTCCTTTTGTCTTCTGATGACTCCGCCCCTTGCTAAGGAAACAGGTGATCAGTAATTTCTCCTCTCTCCATCTCATGACTCTAAACGTGTTCTGAAACGTGTCTGCTAATTTCCCTGAACAATACGCGGAGGCTGAAACAGGACCCGGAGAAGGGCCACCCCAGAGTGCTGAAGACCAGCTTTGATTCGGGGGAGTAGAATTTAATCTGCTAAATGGAGATTTCAATGCTGTTCCCTTTTCTTCCCCCACATCCCCGTCTCCATTCCACCTACCTAAACCTGGATTAGCCGGCCGCATGATGAGCCGGGGGAAAAACCAACCCCACCTCCCTCACAGAGATGTGTGCTCTGCTGCTGCAGGATCCCAGGGCGGCGGCAGGGGGGCAAGTTCAGGGTCCTTCGTGTGTACTGTGTGTTAGGGGCTCTGTGGGAGTTGCTTTATAAGTGCAACATTGTGCTGTGTAATTTTGAGAAAAATACTGTTCATGGAAAACAAAATAATGAAATGATAACCAGACTGCCTGAATCTAGGCGTTGCAAGCCAACAGCTTGGCACAAGTTGGATTGAGTTATGTGGGGCTAAGTCGAAAATAGAGATGTTGAACAGGCAACGTGTGCTGGAGAAAAAAAGTCCAGGAGGGCACTGATCCAGGCAAATTTAGGGAGTGGTTACCAGGGAGAGGTTAAAACTTTTGCATAACTTTCGAAACAACCAGAGGAGCAGCAAGGAAACTCTGGTATACCCCCTGCTTCCGCTCGACATAAAGTTACTCAAAACTACAGACAACTTAAAGGCAAGCTAAACATGGAAAGTGTTACTTTTTGGTTTTCTTTGGGAGGCAGAGTTAAATTCTGAACAAGTTTATCAGATGAGACATGCTCTGCATTTTTCTTGCAGCAAGCGAGGGGGTTGTGCTCCAGTTTAACTGTGCCCTAAGCACCTGCTCGGTTTGTGCTTTGGTGGAATCTGCCGGTGTTGTTGCCAGCAGGAAGTCCTCCATGAAGCCCAGAGGAGGCCCCTGGTCCTCGCGGACACAGGCTGAGCCATCATGCCTGACAGCAGTCAGCAACTCCACCGTGCAAAAGCTGCGGCTACCGTAACGAAACCCCCAGACTTCCCACTGTAGCCCCAGCGTCCTGAGATGACACCAGACTAGAACTAAAAACTAGGGCAGTCTTTCTGGCTCTGTCCCCACGGACGGGGCAAGGACCCCATCACCCCTCACGTTCCATCTGCATATTCCAAGAGTTTCTCTGGCCATTGAGGAACCCACAGTCTTTCTAGGGCTGGCCTTGGGTGTTCTGGCCACTTCTACGTTTTGAGAAAGAGCAGGTGAAGAAGGAGCCAGGGGCCTGGGGACGCGGGGAGGAAGAGGAGGAAAAGAAAGAAGGCCGAATGAGTGCTCCAAAAGTTTTAAATATTCATATGTGATAAAATAATAGTATTCACATACAGATACATCATCTCATTTATGTAATCATAGTATTTATAATCGCAGAATTTATAGAAAATGTTAATTAATGGTGTGTTGTAGGTAATATGGACAAAGAAAGGGGCATGAGTTTATTTTTAAATTGAAGTAGAGTCAGTTTGCAATTGTTGTGCCGATTTCTGGTGTGCAGCATCATGTTTCAGTCATATATACACACATATATTCATTTTCATATTCTTTTTCATTATAAGTTATTGCAAGATACTGAATGTCGCTCTCTGTGCAATATAGAAGAAACTTGTATGTCTATTTTTTCACTTTCTTATTGAAGTCTAGTCAGCTTACAGTGCTGTGTCAGTTTCTGGTGTGCAGCGCAGTGCTTCAGTCACACACATGCATACATTCATTGTCATATTCTGGGACATGAGTTCAAAGGTGTGTGATAAACACCTCCTACTTTGAATCCTGTCAGTGTCTGTCTGCCATTCTGTGTGCAGCCTCATTGGCAGATAATATTTGAAGTTCAGACTTGATGCCCTGTGTAGAGGTGAGGCCAGGGCCAAGTACCCCTCTGGTCTAGTCTTTCTCCCCCATCCTGTGACAGACCCGGGACACACCCAGAACTTCCTTCAGCCCATCTGTAGGTCTAACGTAGGGGAATCCAGCCACTCAGGGTGATCCTTGCCCTCAGCTTGTGCCAGAAGCAGATGTTCAGGTCATTCAGACCCCTTCATTGTTCCTTTCTTACCCTGCGTGGTCACTGCAGCATTGTAGAGTGTCTCTTTTTTAAAATAATTTTTTGAGGGGGAGGTAACTTTTTTAGAGGGAGGTACTGGGGCCTCGTGCACGCTAAGCATGCGCTCTACCCCTTGAGCTACACCCTCGCCCTAAAATGTCTTGGGGCCCAGGAAGCGTAGGGTCTAGAGTGTGCACTGGCCTCTATTTGATGACAAGTGACCTGGAATCGAAACCATTTCTGCAGCCTGTGTACTTCAAACAAGCGCTTGACTGCTGGTGTGTCCCTGTAAGAAAGCTCGTGCCCTGGGCTGAGAGTCACCCTTTTTTCAATTTGAAGTTGTCATGATGGACGTGGGCACTTTTCTGAGCCTTAGTTTCTGTGTCTATAATGTGAAAACTTTGGTTGATATCTTGATTTTATATCCATTGACCTTGATACATTCACTTGCTAATGCCCAATTTTGACTCTGTCCTTTGGGATTTTCTGCATACACAGTCACGCTGTCTGCAAATTATGACAGTTGTATTTTGTCTTTTCCAGTCCTTACGTCTTGTTTTTCCCTCGCTTTATTGCGCGAGTCAGACCTTTAGTTCAATATTGTGGTGGTAGATTTTTTTGTTATTTCCAGATCTCAGTGAGAAAATTTCAATGTTTTGCCACTAATTGTACTGTTGGTTCTACACCTCTGGCAGATACTTTGATGAGAATAATTTAGTCCTCTTCTATTACTCCTTCACTAAGGTTTTTAGAAATCATGAATAAATGCAGAATTGTATCAACGTTTTCTGCACATTTTGGGACAATTGTATGATTTTTGTCTCCTTTATTCTCCTTCGGAGGCATCAAAATTATGCTTTCCCTCAAAAAATAAATAGGAAAATTTTCCTTCTATTTCTCTGGGAGTGAATGAATGTGTAAAGACTGACATCATGTAATTTTTAAATATTTGGAGAAATTCACTGATGCAGCAATCTGAGCCTTTTTTTTTTGAGGAAGGGTTTAAACATTACAAATTAAATTCTTTTTTTTAAGCATAAGACTATTTAAATTTTTGATTTCATTTTGGATCAGCTTTGGCAAGTTGTATTCTAGGAATTGGTTATTCTCATTTAAGGTTTCTTTCATTAAGTTCAAGGTTTTTGTCATAAAATTGCCCATGTCTTTTTATCATTTTTTTTTAACGTGTGAGGGTCTGCACTGCCATTCCTTTCTTTTTTTTTCTCCAATTCCTCATGTGGCTAATTGGCGTCTTCTTTCTTTTCTCAAGACTAGTTTTATAAGAGGTTTATCAATGTCATCATCCTTCCTAACTATATTCAGTTTCTTGTAGTAACTTATGGTGAAAAAGAATATGAAAATGAATATGTGTATGTTCATGTATGACTGAAGCATTGTCCTGTAGACCAGAAATTGACACGTTGTAAACTGACGATACTTCAATTAAAATATATATATAAATAAACAAATTGAAAAAATCTTCTCTAGAACAGATTTCAGCCTCATAGGGTTTGTTCTTTTATTTGGATATTTCTTTTTCCGCCCCTGCTTTCTTCTGGTATAACTTACTGTTCTTTTTCTAACTTTTTGAAATGAATAATCACATCAATGAATTTTAGCCTTTCTTATTTTAGGAATATATGTACTTAAAGCTATAAATTTTCCCCTATGCTCATGTCTGGTTATTTTCCACTGACCTAATTTTTAGCTCGCTCATCCTGTCTCCATCTGTGTCCAATATGCTTGAGACTGATCTGTTGCGTTCAATTTTTTAGAAAGTATTTCTAGTTGATTCTTTTTTTTTAATGATTGATTCCAGTATAATGCATTATCAGATCATGTCCTTTTAAGAAATATTATTAATCGGAGTTATTTTAAAAACCCACGTCAAAGAACTCCAGTATTTTGGATCAGTTTTGCTTCTGTTTCGCGGCTGCCCCGCAGAGGTTAGCTTTTCCCTGCCACCCCCCCCCAAAATCGGCTTGGATTTCAAGACTGATGATGCAGCAGCCACCACCAAGAGGGTACGAGCAGCTTTATCACCCACATAACGGCACCTTTTGGGGAGGGCAGAGCAGGCACCCAAGCCCGCACAGTGGCTTCAGCAGAGAGAAGTAGTCTTGGTTTGATGCTCAAGATGTCCATGTCGGGGCTGGGGTTGGAATGGCTCAAACTTCCCTACTGGCAACAAAACAAAACAAAACAAAGCAAAACTCAAAAGGTGGGCTTTATTATCAGTTTACCCAGTTGTGGAGCAAGAGGGAAAGTGGGAGGAGTGGGGCTTAAACACGGCCAGCAGCCAGACATTCAAAGTGGGGTAAGACTCTCGTGTTTGATGGCTGGACTGTGCCGTGTGTCCTTTCGTTGCATTTGTACCTGTTTAAGGAAGTGACTTTAAAGCCCTATGAGGCTTTCAAAACGCAGACTGTATTAGAGGGTCTGTCTTTATTGCTTAATTTAATCTTGACAGTTTATTTATTTATTTTCGATATGTCGGGTAATTTTTGGTTGAATAGCAAGCATTTGTCGGGAAAAATCTAGAGGGTCTGTGTCTTGGTCTATTCAGGATGCAGTAGCAAATACCACAAAATGGGTGGCCCACGAACAACAGAAATCTATTTCTCTCACTTCTGGAGGCTGGGAGATCCAAGGTCAGAGTTTCAGGACGGGTGCATCCTGGTGAAGGCCCTCTTCCTGGTTCGCAGCTGGCACCGTCTTTTGGTGTTTC